GATTAATTTTGAACCTAAAATAGATCAAAACTGTGATCAAACCTAAAAAAAATAAAAAATAAAAATAAAAAAAATGTATCATTTTTACCATTCTAAATATACCTCTCCAAAAATAGAACCATACTCGTACAACTTTTGCTGCCCTAAATTTCTATATTAAGAACAAGATCTCCACGAAGCGGGTAAATTGGTCCTCCACTTTTCACTCGATAAATTACTCAAACATTTCACCAAAAAATAATAATCACAAAAACAAAATTCATTATTTGATATAAATGAATGAGTCCACAAGGTACAACAATACAATACAATATAGAGGCAAAAGCCTCGAGTATAATAAAATTGATTTTTTCTATATCTAGCATCAAAATGTGAGGCAAAAGAACATGCAGCCAACGCTATTGTGACCTGAAAAGAACAATAACAGACAAATATCATCATTAACAAAAACAAATGAAACTCGTGTTGAGAGGAGTCAATGATTCATGTATGAAATGAGTAACTAAGCATTTGTAAATTCCATTCACCGTATAAAACAGATACAATAATTCAAAACATATATATTTGTTAACTGATGTAAATTTTTCTTTTGCATGCTTCTAATATACTACCATAATATAGCATGCATAGAAACGCTTTCCTCTGATGAAATCAACAATACACCAACTCAGTATGTTGCATAGGGTGACCGACATACAATATCAGTTTTGTGTCAAAGTAACAATTTTCTGTATAGACCTAGAAGTAAGACAGCTTGTAAAGAAAATATATGCACAGAATAATCAAGCAAATAATATACTAAAGTGAAAGTTGGAACTTGGATGATTCAAGACGCAAGAGTAACCAGCGGTCGCGTGCCTTTCTTTTCTGATCAATTTCATCAGAATATTCTTTGCTGACCAAGATATCTAAAGTTATTAGTATTACACAAGATGGACAAGATGGAGCCTTTCTTTTCTGATCAATTTCATCAGAATATTCTTTGCTGACCAAGATATCTAAAGTTATTAGTATTACACAAGATGGAGGAACATGTCATCTTGTCCGGACAGGGTGACAAGATATTAGACAAAAAAGGTACACCCTAAAAAGAATCAATGCCTTACCTTCAGAAGTATATCAAATCTAATACTAATATTCTTTAATTTTCAGGGCTAACCAAGATATCTAATGTTCTTAACGCGTACTCTTGTCCAGACAGAGTGCCAAGACATTGACATGAAAGGCACACCCCAAAAAAGAATCGATGCCTTACTTTTAAAAGTATATCTAGTCTAAATCTAATAATATTTTGTAATGATATAAATTTCACATGCAGAGTAGGAAAATTAAGACTTCCATTGCACCACGCCCTAATCATAACTCTCTTGCAGTAGTACTTCACAAAGAATCTGTGTTTTTCCTATCAGCTACTCAATATAATTTATTGTCCCACTAGTTATATGATTATCAAAGGTTTCCATAACAAAATACAGTAAAAAGCATCAATGCAAGAATAAAATACTATATGGGATCTATTGCCATTCATGATGCAACTCTTACCTCTTAAAATCCAGCATGAAGTCAAGGGTGATATACTCAATCAGCCTGCAAATACCATAGATAAACATCAATTCCAGGGAAATATTGCAGTTTGAATTGCAGACTAAATTTAATATTTCATTTTAATAAATAATTTCTCTCATAAAAATGCGACAACTTTTGATTTCAAGGTGATTTAGCCTGTATTTAAAGGAAGTTCCTATTTGTTTTACAAGTGAAATTTTGAAAATGATGTCTTGGCATGAAAGAACTGTAAGAGTTTATCGAAAGTAAAAAGCCACAGTTTTTTGCACTTCTGAAACCATTTTCAAAATTCCATACCTTCCTAAGTAGTAGTTCAATCAGAAAAGTAGTTCATACTAGAGAATTAACGGGTTTGCCACTCAGGATGGTTCCATTAGTTATTTTAATTAGTTTTTTCTTTTCTCAAAAGCACAGGTTGTGAGCCAACAATTAGTTTTCTATTTGAAAGTTCCAATGAAATTGCTATAGCTGTATCTCTATTTAAATTTAAAAACCATCTAGTCTATCTTTAAAGAAAAACATTTTCCTTTGAACATTCTTTATCTATCTTCTTTTAATCTTATTTAATTATTAAAAAAAAAAATGAGAAGCATATCTATAATCCATATTGCATTGTAAAAAATTGTAATAAAGTAAAATAAAAAAACTATCATGATCATATGTTTATGTTTATAAGTAGGAAATCATCACCTTACATTTAGTAAGGTTAAGTTAGGTCAAATCACAATTTTAAAATGATATTAAAGCCTTCCTTCAAGATCCGATGGGACACCTGATATCGGGTTTCTGCTATTGGGCTTTCTACTATATACATCCACACACTAAATTCAATAGTGTTGGACATGAGGGGAGTGTTAGAGACTCTCACATCAAACAATATATGGCCTAAACAAATATTTTATAAGTAGGGACAATTATCACCTTACAAGTCGGTTATATAAATCGGTTACATAAATCAGTTTTATAAGGTTGAATTAGGTCAAATTACAAAATCTAAGAATATTGAACATTTATATGCTCACAACAAAATTAAAATATTAATAATGTGCATAAAATTAAATTTCTTTAGAAACCCGTGCAAGGCATGGGCTACTTTATAGTTTAGTTTACACACATCATATTGCAATATCAAGACAAATACATTTGAATACTAACAACGATGACAATGATTTCCAGATTTTCTCTTTGATAGAAAATGGAACTTGTACATATAAAATTTTGACATAATGCGAACATAGTGATTTACCTTCTCATTTTTTGGACCAAAAATTGCTTTGACTGAATCAAATACCTCTTCAACAGGCCTTGCAGCATCAATCTAAACATATAATATGCCATGTCCTTTAGTACCCGAGAAAAACAAAAAACTCATCAAAACATAGCAAAAGCACAGGTATCAATTACCTTGCGGACTTTTCCCTTAGCATCATAATGATTAATAACAGGGAGACTAGAGTCCAAGAAAACCTTGAATCGCTTCCTTATTGTTTCAATGTTGTCATCTTCTCTACCCTTTATAATTGACATTGAAATCCAGTATTAAGCACTGAAAAACATATATATTTTTAGTTATGTATTGTATATTGTATAACCTGGTTCCTACTAAGAAGCCGTCTCTCCATCTCTTCCTCCGGGCAATCAAAGAATAGGACAAACGTTGGTTCTATTCCTGTCTGCAAAGCAATAATGCATTTTGGAAATTAAAAGTTAGTGCATGTATCTGCTTAGGAAAAAAGCTAGAAGTTAAAAGCTGTTCTATTTGACAACAATAGCAATTACCACTTTCTCAAATGCAGCACGGTTTTCCTCATTGCGAGGAAAACCATCAATAAGAAATTTGTCATTGCCATTTTCCTGCATTGCTCGTTGCAGAAGCTTAATTGTTACCTCAGATGGAACAATCTTTCCTTCCTTGATCATATTCTGGATCATTGTGCTGTCAAACATCAGAAATAAATGGGTAAATGCTAAAAGACACGGACAGCTTAAAATTAAAGCAGGTGGTAGACCAACAATAACCAAGCATATGTCATTGTTCAGAAGTTGATGTTGGAAAGGAAGACGCATCATAATAACCTAGTATATGCAATACATAAAAATCTACTGTAAAAACTAGAAAATATGCAAAAGAAAATATCCTGTCCCATAATGAATGATACACTTGAAAGGAAAAAAATTAAAGTCCTAAAATGAATGTCATATTCATTTTTCAGTGAAATAAATCTCTTTTACCAACTGTATTCTCTAATTAATATTGTGTACACCACTCCCAAGTTATTAGGGGGCGTTTGTTTTAAGTATTCATAAATGACTTTCCAAGAATAAGTTACCCAATAACTGTGAAGCATGGGTACTTCATTTTAAGTAAAGTACCAGTACTGCGTACGGTACACACCGAAGCTGTACCAAATTTTTTTAATTTTTTTTAAAGTTGGTACACCATGCGGTACACATATGGTACCACGTACCCAATTTTTTTAAATTTTTTCAGATGGTATAATTTGGATTTTTTTTACTGAGTAAAAATTAGGTTAATTATTCTATTTATTCACTCATTGAAAAGGAATAGGCTCAATTTAAAGAGGGCTGATGATTTAGTTTTTGCTTATAGAAATCTTCATCTTCTCTCGAGAAAGAGTAAGGTTTATAATGAAGGAGCAAAAAACATGTGAGATATTGATAAAAATTAATGAGATCTATTTGATGGAGCTAATATTTTTAAAGTAGTTAGTCTTTCTCTCAATGAACCTGAACTAGAAGCCGCTCTTTTTAATGATATTGGAGAGGAAAATATAGATATGATTTCATGATTTATTGATATTTTTTAGTGTGATTTATTTATGTTGCGAATATATTAACTATTTTTAAATAAATTGTTTTTCAATTTTAATGTTTTGATGTTATTTAAACAATATAATTCATTTGTTATTTTTTTATAATTGTATTTTTTAAAAAACTATACTAACGTACCCATACCATAGTTTTTCTGAAAATGTCGTACTCCGTACCAGTATCCGTATCGGATACTTGGTACATACCCGTACCTATGCAACGCAACCCAATAATAAAAATATGGAAATTTAATTCTTGGGTATTTTTTTTAAAAGTGTTTGGCGTATAATTTGATGTTCCTATAGTTTTTAAAGTTATGCATTGGCGATGTATGAAGCGGGAAGCCTAACGTATATCTAGGATAGACTCTGATACCATCTCAAAATTTGGATTGGACCTAATTCAACATTACAAAACTGACTTGTAAAGTGAGAAGTGACACTCTATATAAACAAACCCTTTGTAGGCTCTATCTTACCCAGTTTATGTCTTTGTGTAAGAATTTTCATCATTGGCTATAGGCTCATTCACTAAGAATTTATTATAAAGTGATAAAAAATGAATTTATCTCTTACATAGTGATAAACAAAATCATAATGTTCAAAATATATTTACTAGAAAATGTTAATAGTTTGAGTATCCACAAGGTAGAAATCATGATCCCCTACCCTACTCCCTCCTAAAACATTTCTGATACAAGATTATCATCATGGCCCATCATTGCCCAAAGACAAACTTTTATTTACAAAAGATTGATCCTTGGAATTTATGAAAACATAAAACATTTGCAAAAGAAAACACACACATGGGCACGCATATATATCAAATAAGTATAATTAGAAACTACTTTAGATTATGAATCACAGAGCCCACATTCTTGAGTAACATTTCAAGACAAAATATATAATTTCACTGTGTGCTACCCCATTTCTCATGGGATATATGGGTATTTCGTTTTCTTTCCAAATGACAGTCAGTGAAATTATATATATCACCACCTATTACACTAGTCATTTACTATTTCTAATTGAGTCAAAAAGACTAATAAGAGTCAACAAAACAGGACTATGAATCTATCACTATGGAGCATATAATTTGTACCCATTTTCAGAGCCAGATTTGATTTCTGCACGAAGAAGATCACCAGCACTGAGATGAGTAAACCCAAAATGTTCGACAAGGTTTGCACATTGGGTACCCTTTCCACTGCCTGGGCCACCTGTACCATTATTGTTATTAGATCAATGATCAACTTTGATTCAAAAAAGTAATCCAACAAATTCAATAATGAACACAATAGAAACAAATGGATAGGTAAATAAATAAATGCATTCACTTTACAAAGGGTAAAAGAACAATAAAAAATGATGTTAAACAATATATGACATGCCATAAGTTAAGTTGGTAATAGCTAGTAATTGGTCAAAATCCCCCCATGTTTCAACTATGGGTTCATTTGGAAGGGCGTCCTTAAAGTTTATTTAGGTGTGGCTTAAGGCATTGGCAATTGTGTGTGTTTTGAAAGGCTTTTGAGATGCCCGGATGTTGTTTTACACTTATTTTAATGAGATAAAAGCTTCCAGAAATATCTAAAGCGGAATTCATTCTATCTTCAATCCCAAACATAGTTTAGCCATTATTTATTATTAAATATAAGTGCTTAATTTGGTTGTTTATCCAAACATAATTATATCAGAGCCACCATGAAAATACCATGACTCCAGGGTACTGGTTTACTATAATAGAAGGAATTGTTAGAACATACATGTGAAATAAAAAACAAATTCAGCATTGCTATTTTTTCTTTTCCATAGTGAATGTTTAGGAAGACAAAAAAAAGTGTTTAAATGATAAAAAAATCTTATGTACTTACAGATTTATCAGTCAAATATCTTGTCTACAAGTAACCATTTATCTATAGCAAAACTCAACAATTAACTACAAATTCACGTTTTAGATGCCAAATTGCTTGTTATAAATAAATTGGAGCAATGAAGAAAGTATGTATGTTCAACAAAAATAGTAAATGCATAGGATTTTACAAAAGATTATAGTTATATAGAGGGAAGATGACGTCGGAGATTTGTTGACTTGAATGCAATCAACCATTGCTTACCTAGCACAAACACAACTGTGGGTTTTTTATTTAGGATGCTTCCATTTGTATCCTACAAACAAATGAGGGATTTAAATCAGTTGACATTAAAACTGCATCAGAACTTATACCATTTGTATCCTACAATCAAATAAGGGGTTAAAAAACAGTTCAAATCGATACTACCGTATTAAGAATGACACGATTAAAATTCGACAATTGAACATTCAATTGAAAAAATAGGAAATCAATACTGCATTACAATTTACACTATCTCATCAATATGAATCCCTAAACCATATAATTTAAATTGTTTTAGTAAATTTTTGTTGGACAATGACTCCAGCATATCCTACAGTTGTACAGCACATTCTATGAAGGAAAATATATTTTTAAAGTTAGAATCTCCAAATTCTGTACAACTGTATTAAAAGTACGAGGAATAAGTAGTCAAATCAGATTTTCAAAGGAAGCTTTCAAAATGCAAAAAAGCTCAAGCAAAAGCAAGTCTATATGTGGCATAACAATGAATACCTTGACTGCAGCTTCAAGAACTGTTCCCATGAGTAGTAGCAAGTAGCAACTAAACTGTCTTTATTTGCAAGTAGAAAAATCCAAACAAGTATTATGATGAGTCCAACAGAAATTTATTTACAGTGAAAATCAAGTATATACATATCTATTTCATCACACCCTGATTGAAATCTGGATTGGATAAAATGACATGGTAAAACAATCATTTCACCAATGCCAATCCACACACTTCAAGAGGGAACACAATAAAAAGTAGAACAATCATACTTGAATTCAGTCTTATACATTCATCAACATATCATATTAAAATCTACATGCAATTGCTTATATCTACACTTGATTTCACCAAATTCAGCTGATTCACAAATGAAATTCATCAATCAACAGATCATGCAGACACTCAAACTCATCCAATATTCCATAAAAAATTTCACAGAATCTCACTCATAGCAATACCATTAACCAAATCATGAATCAAAAATCCAGATCTAAAGCCAGGACAATATCACAAACACTAAAACCAGAACAATCGCAACAAAATACATAAACTAAAATCAAAACTCGAAGAACACCGCCATTTCATCAATCAAGTACCATAAAAATGATTATTAAGATAAAAATAAAAAAGCAGATAGCAAGATCACGAATCCAATCCCTAATCAATGTTAAAAATTCATCCAAACTTCGTCTTCGCAGGCGCTAAAATCAAACACGTGAATTTCAAAACGAAAACCAAACAATGCGCGCGGAATAGGGAAAAATGAAATGAAAGCACGGATCGAAGATAAGTTCGGTGAGATCTAAGTGAAATGGAAGAGAAATTTGAGAGGGTTACCTTTGCGCGAAAGAGGAAAAAAGAGTGAATCTGAAATTTGTTGCTATGGAAAGTATGGTAAGGTTCGTTTGTGGTATTTATAGCTGTGTAAGAAAGTTGATGCAGGTGGTTTATTAGTCGGTAGGGGTAAAATTGGAAAGTTAGTTCATGGAAATTGGGAAGGCGAGGGAGGTGTTTGCGTGATAGTAACGGCTACAATGAACGTTTTTCACGGCTTTGATTGTGAGGATGCTTCAACACCAAGTGAGGAAGATGTGAAGATTCTTGTGTAAGTGTTACTAACAATCATGTTCATCTGGTAAAAGAATTAATAATCTCATCACTTTATCCAATTTTTAAATATAAAATAGGTTGATTAACAAAAAGGCTAAATAGTGCCTTTTGGTAGGAAAAATAAGCTAGAGTACACTTTAATTATAATAAAATACTTTATAATTGATTTAGAGTAACAATAAAGTTGTCTTAATTTTACTATAGTTCGAAATGTATAATCGAAACATTTGTTTCTGAGGAAATATTATTAGAGCACCTCCAATGATGCAACCCATTTTTAAGTTTTTTGTGGGATCCACTCTTCTAAAACAACTTATTCAATTTTCACTTCAATGGTGCAACTTTAAAGAACTCATATTGGGTCTCACTACTTTACTTAAATATATTATTTATATTAAATTTATTTTACTTAAAATTATAATTTAAATATTTAAATTTTAATTACTATAAATATAAACTAAACATAAAATTAAAATTAAACATAAAATTGAAAATAATAATTTATGAATAAAATGATGAAATTGTGAGGGATAAATTTAAAATTAAAGAGTAAATAAAAGTGAGAGAAAATAGGATTGTTATAAATTTTTGCAACAAACTTATATTTATAATAAATAAAAAAAGTTAAAAAAAAATAAAACCAACAAGTTAAATAATTATTTTAATAATATAAAAAAAATGAAGAACCATTGCTTATGCAAGGAACGTTCACCAGCTGGAACAACTTTTGGTTGACAATTTCAATGCTAAGTTGGCAAACCAATTTGAAGAACCACCGTTGGAGATGGTCTTATGAATTCTTTCGCGATGTTTTTAGTAAGTTGATGTCTCGGTGGTGGAGAGTGATTTGTAAATGTTAGTAATCAAATAATTAGATAAAATGAGTGTGAGTATTTAAGGTTTTAGAACAGTGTGCACTTACATATGAGTTGTTCAATATATTTTATAGGTAAAGTTTTGAGTATTTAAGGTTTTGAACCGTGTGCACTTCATATATTCTTTTCTGATTGTCTTATCATAAGATAGGTGTTAAGGAATCTTAAGGTTTTTTTTATCTAACAAGTATAAGGTTTTTGTGTTTGTATTCCTATAAGTCTGAGACCATACATTTGCCTTCCCCTCTCCTAAGATCTGATTTGTTTGTTTTTATGCTGAAACAATCACCTTTAAGTCTTAGTTGGCGCAGAAAGATTATGGTTTTGTCATAGACTTCTTATATTTCATATTGAGTTGTTATTCATTTTCAATAAGGTGAGGATGTCGATAATAGTGACCCTTAGTTGGATACGATGGGATGAGATATTGGAGGTCGATCTGGACAATTGGTCTATTGTGGGATTCTTGTAGGAAAAAAGACAAAAGACATGTGTCATAAATATCACACATTTTTTATGTTGTGGAGTTTCTGAGGGTCCTAATATTTCTTCAGTAGGGGTGTTCATGGGTACGGGTTAACCCACAAACCCACGAATTCAAACCAATCCAACCATTTATTTTAACTCAACTCAATTAGTATGGATCCAACCTAGGGATGACAAATATTTGTACCCGCGGATATCCGCGGATAAAATCCGTCACGAATATGGGGCGGGTAGCTTATGGATATCTGCGGATAAAAAAATGGATATTTAAATATGCATTTGTTAATGGATATGGATAAGGGTTTAATAATATATGTGCCCGCGAATATCCATATCCATTAATAAATTATAAAAATCATTTAAATATCATTAATTTATTATACCTTATTTTTTCATCTTCTAAAATAAATAGTCTTATTATATTTTTTTTTTTTTAATTTTCTTTGAAGAAAACCTTTCCCATTTCATTCAAATTTTATTAGTCATTTCATATTTAAACTCTTCAATATTTCATACCCCACTTCAATAATTTCATAGTCCAACCAACTAGTGTTGTCACTCCTCTGTCGGACTAGTGTCTATCTGCCTACTCCTATGTCGTTCGCTCTTCCACCATAACTCACAATCACAATATTTTTTATTTTTTTAGTTAAAATAAAATATATAGACATTATGTATGGATCTACAGTAATTATATTTTGGTGAATAATAAGAAAAATAATGTGATTAAATTTTATTGTTAAATTAAGAGCGAATTGTATGGATGTTATGTGATAATAATTGTGTCCTTAAAAGAAGTTAAAAAAAATTTTAATTTTATAACAAAATATTATCCATGGATATCTGTAAATATTCATGGATACCGTAAAACCCGCGGATTACCCGCTTAACGAATATTTGTATAGATATGGAGCGGATATGGATATCATATTTATCCAACGGGTCGGATACGGATATCATAGTATCTGTCTCCATGGATATCCATTTACATCTCTAGTTGAACCTGAACCAACTCATTCAAATTCATTGGTATTTGGTTCGGGTAATGAGTTTGGAATTTTAAACTCACAAACCCGTGAACTCAACTCATTAATATGTCATGTTATTTTTATTTATTTATTTTATAAACGATCTACCAAAATCCCTACTACGTATACATCATTTTTTAATATAATTGTAGTTTTTATTAGTTGTAAAAATCTAAGCCTAAATCAAGTTTGAGATATTGGATTTCTTTATTGAAAGAGCGATATATCTTACCATTTAAATTATATCATACACATTTTGGATTTCTTTTTGGACTTGATTTAGATTATGAAAGAGCTTTTAGGTATTAAATGATATGTTTTATTCCATTAAATACTAAAATTTTATGATGTTTTAATGTTTATTTAAAATAAATGTGTTAATTGAATTAATTTTTTATTTATAATAATTTTATATAAGAAAATTAGTGGATGACCCACGAACCCACCCAACCCATTGAAGAACAGGTTGGTTCGGTTCGGGTTTAGTATTAAAAGCATGGGTTGAATACTCAACCCAACCCAACGACTATTGATTGGGTCGGATATTGGGTTTTATCAAATTTGACCCAACCCAACCCACAAACACACATACTCGTCAGACCTTGTTATTTGCCTTTGTCACTTCTCAATGAATGATGCATACTTGACCCGACAATTACTCTTCCATTTATGTGACCCTAGCCCTAGGACTATGTAGTATAGGGTAAGGCGTGCATTGGCTATTCGTAGAGTACATAAATGTTATATATATATATATATATATATATATATATATATATATATATATATATATATATATATATATATATATATATATATATATATATATATATATATATATATATATATATATATATATATATATATATATATATATATATATATATATATATGTATATATATATATATATATATATATATATATATATATGTATATATATATATATATATATATATATATATATATATATATATATATATATATATATATATATATATATATATATATATATATATATATATATATATATATATATATATATATATATATATATATATATATATAAGAGTTTAATTTGTATGCACTGACAGTGTAAAGTAATTTTGCACTATCATCAAATAGAAATATATTAATATGTCATGCCATACAGTTAACTTAAAGTTTACAGTATGATGTGGCAGGATGATGAGGGTGATTGGTTGACAGTGTAAAATAAATTTACACTGCCAGTGCATACAAATTAAATTCTATATATAATTCCACGAGGGAGTCAAAATTGTTTGGTGATCGGAGGTTGTAGATTGTAATGGTTGACTTGAGTTTCTGGTGTGGTGAAAGATGGGTTAACCTGCAAGGTTATCACTGAAGGTGGAGAAAAACACAAAAATGGAGGTTTGAATTGGGTTTTTACAAAAACAAAAGCTTTTCGACATTTTATACAAAAGTTGCCAAGAGAATGAAGATAAAAGGACACAAGTATTTTTATCCTGGTTCACTACTAACAAAGTTACTCCAGTCCACCCGCCAAGATG